GGCTGTGGCTGATGGGCCTCTGGGGCCCCTCGCTGGGCCGGCCGCCCGCCCCTGCTTCCGGAGCCGGGACGGGCTTGCCGGCTTCGGGGCGCCGCCGCGCAGCCCGCTTCTGCTGGGCAGGCGAGAACCTCCCTTGGCGCGAGTCGCCTCTGGCGCAGGAAGGGCTGCGATCCTGAGTGGGCGGGGTAGGACGTGGCCCCCTGCCCCTCCGGAGGTAGAACGGCGGGGTGCCCCCTCCCCAGCCCTCTCTCCGCAGCGCAGGAAGGGGTCTTCCGCTCGCTGCCTCCCCATGGCCGCCCCTTTGGCTCCTGCAGCTTGCAGGAAAGTGGCTAAAGAAAGCCCTCGACCTCAAGAGACAGATGCCAGCATCGAATTTTCTCCCAATCGAATTAGTGATTTACTGGGTAACTTCTGCTTTCATCCACTGGCCAGTCAGCTGGGGAGTTTTGCAAACTGAATGCAGCATATACAGTATGTTTCTTAAATACTTCACTTATAACAAAGGCCATACAAAACCCACATCCTCTGAAATGGACAGGTCTGTTGAAAAGCTTGTGGAAAGATTTATGAAGAAAGTTAGCTGGGATTATACTGAAATTCCTGATCTTATTTTGAAAGTCGCTTATCATGGCTACCTGTCTGTAACTTGGTGGCTGTAATACTTCTGCAACATTTATTCAGCGATATCTTTGTATACTGCTCGTCACCAACTTAGTTCCCTAGTGAACAGCGCTTGCCCTTCTATGGGATGCTGATCCTTGCCGACCTCCCCGAACAGGGCAAGCGCCAGCCTGTCCCCACAGCCTCCTCCTTGTGCACAGGCCTTCCTAGGATTAATGTCCTCTGGTAAGGAAAGTGGCAGCCGCTCTTTTGAGTGCAGGTAGGAGTGAACCTGCCAGCAGCAGCCCTCGCCTCGGCACCCGCTTTCTGCGCAGAACTCGTTCCGCTGAGTCCTTGCGCCGGAGTGCTGACATTCCACCGCTTGCTTACCTTGTTTCAGGAGGAACCCAAATCGCTGATCGCAGGGAACTCTGGCGCCAGAAGCAGGTGTTCTTCCTTACTCCTCAGATAATGGCGAATGATCTTTCCCGTGGAATTTGCCCGGCAGCGGAGGTCAAGTGTCTGGTTATCGATGAGGCCCACAGAGCTCTGGGGAACCATGCGTATTGCCAGGTAGTGTGAGCTGTATAACCTATTCTGTCCCCTAGAATAACTGAAACTCACTCACCTATTGAAAAAGCGGCCTTACTTTTTGCTGAAAGCTCCTAAGCAGGAATTGGTGGGGAGAAGTAGTTATTTTTCCACTAGATCCCATCTTGTGCCTCTGGGTGACTCTTCAGTCTCACCTTTCAAGCAGAAGGAACAGGGCTCGTTGTTCCAGTTCATAGCAGGGCACCAGTTGGTGGTATCATGAAAGAATAGGACTTCCTGCTCTACCCTCTCCGAATTCTTACAGAGTCTCCCAAATGCTTTTAAATTACAACTGATTTGTTCTCCTGACCTGTCTTGATACTCTCTTTGAGGTTCCAGCTACAACCCAGTGAGTTCAGCTAGGAGAGGGCTAGGTGGCTGTGAAGGGTGGCTGCCAGTCAGAGTGGGCAGCACTGGGCTGGACTGACTTGCTGGAGGGGTGGCGTCCTTTCAAGGAGAGCTCGCTCTTTGCTCTTGCACCAGCACTGCTGAAGGAGAAGGCCGTGTCCGTCATGTGCTTCCCTGCCCGGAAACCCCATTGCCCTTAGGCAGAGCTGTGTGGCGGAAACGTTTCTGACCCAGGTGCTACCTGCTCTCCTGTCGGGCTCTTCAGGGGCTTTGGGGAGGGCCTGTTCTTTACCCTGTGAAGATGCCTCTGTGGCAGGGCGACATTAGGGGTTTTGTCCTCTGGCACAGGCTTCCTGGGCTAGAATCAGGCTCCGAGTGAGGAAACGGGTTGCCTGGTTGGTTCTGTGGATGAGGTGAGGCCTGCCTCTGGGCCGGACCCTCCTCTAGAAGGTTAAACAGCTTTGTTCCACTAAACCAAGATTTGTGTTTGGCTCCAGCTGAGCTCAGCGGGGGACTGCTGTTCGGGGGTCTGCCGTGTTGGGTTCTCACTGTAGCGGGATTTGATGGGGCGCTGGTAATGGCAGAAGCCGTTTTCTCCCCAGGTTGTGAAGGAATTGTGGAAGCACACGCAGCACTTCCGAATTCTAGCTCTAACCGCCACGCCTGGCAGTGACGCGAAGGTAATTAATGGAGTCCTCTGACCCACGGGCCTGCGAATGAGGGGCCCTCCTAGACTCCCTTGCCGAAGGCCCATGGTCCAGAAACGGACCTGCTTATGATGGGTTGCGGGAGCCACGGGCGGGGGGGGGGGATCTCCGCAGGCACGCCCCGTGCGTTCCCAGGGCCGTGCCTTGAGCTGATTGCCCCAGCGGCTGCCGCGTTGATGCTGGGTGCGGCTGGCCGGGAGGCTTCGCTCGGGGCGAGAGGGACGTGTTCTTGAGGAGCCACGCTTGGCTTGGGCGCCTGCGCCCGTGCAAGTCCGCCTTCTTCCTACATCCAACTGGCGCTTTGTGCCAGGGATATTTTAACAGCTGTTTGTACACAGCCAGGTGGGTGTGGGTCCATTTTAAATCCCCCCCGGTTGACTGACACCAGTAACCCTTCCCTGCCCCCCAGAAGTTGCCTTGCTTGAAAATACAGGTGAAGTTGGCAGTGTCTGGCTGCATTCAAGGGACTGTGTGGTGATGCACCGTGGGAGATGAAGCTGTCCTCCGTGACGGAGGCTGGTTTGCATCTTCGCCACACATTTACCAGACGGGCCTGGAGTAACTTTTCTTGGTCCTGGTCCCCAACTCCAATATGGGAATAAAACTACTGGCGCAATTTATAGAGAGATCGTTAAAATTACAAGAATTTGTAGTGCTCCTGGAGCAGTTTGAACGCGCGGCAGTTCTGTCGGGCAGAAAACATGCCGGGCAGGGGTGACTTTCTTGCTCTTTCTTTGCAGGCCGTGCAGCAAGTCATTTCCAACCTTTTGATTTCACATATAGAACTGTACACGGAGGATTCCCCCGAAATCCAGCCTTATTCTTACCAGCGGCAGATTGAAAAGTGTGTTGTTCCACTTGGGAAGGATCTGGCTGAAATCCAGAATGCGTACATACAGGTGAGTTGGCCACGTTTGTTTGTTGATCTGATCCATGTTCCGCTGTGCTAATCCAGAGACTCTCTCTTCATGAAGAGGCTGTGCGTGGGCAGAGAAGTAGTGCAGGAACAAAGGAACTTTTGAGTTGCCTTATCTGCTTTTCAGTCTGCTCAAGACGCGGTGGCTGTTCAGTCTGCAACATAAAGAGGGTGGCTTCACTCCTGTCACTCCGGCTTTTAGGTTTGCTTTTCACGAGTTCTTTGGATCTTGCAAAAATGAAGTAATGTCTGGCAACTGCTCTGGCCAGGCTGATGGTTTATGCCTGCATTTCTCACTGAAACCCCCCCCCCTGTGTCTGGGCAAAGGCGCTTCTGCGCCTGTAACCTGGCTTTCCGGAACAGGTGCTTCTCTCGGGGGACAGGTGGATTGAGCGCACCTCTTTGGGGGTCTGTATTCAAATGCAGCCTGATCCCGGGCACGTCCCATGACCATGAACTGGGACTTTTCCTCCTCTATAGGTATTTCTAGCAAATAAAAGTCTGTTTGTCATATTTTCTCAGCCAGTGAAAAATACAGGGGTGTGGAAGGGGGCCTGCTGGGACATGAAACTTAGTTCCCTTGGACTTCTTTAAGATAACTTGGGACATAGAAACAGAGCGAGTCAGAAGGGGTCTCCCGGGCCATCTAGTCTGACCTCTGGCACCATCCGGCTCTGCTCACGACATGCCCACCATGTGGATGTCCAGCCTAGCCTTGAACACCCGCACCGATGGGGCCTCAACCACCTCCATGGAAGCCCGTTCCACACCCTGGGGGTCCTAACTGTCAGGAAGTGCTTCCTGGCATCCAAATGGAACCTGGGTTCCCCGAACTTTGCTCTGTTGGAGCGCGTCCTGCCTTCCTCTGCAGGGGAGAACAGGTCTCTCCCCACCTCCGTGTGACACCCCCTCACATACCTGTATGTCGCCAACAGATCCCCTTGGAGTCTCCTCTTCTCCAGGCTGAAGAAGCCCAGTTCCCCCAGTCTCGCCTCATACAGCATCCCCTGCAAACCGGCCACCAACTTTGTGGCCCTACGCTGCACTGACTTTAACCTGGCTATATCCTTCCTGTAACGAGGAGCCCAAAACTGAGCACAATACTCCAATTGCGGGCGCACCAGAGTTGTGTAAGGTGGCAGTAACACCTCTCTCGATCCAGAAGCCACACTTCTGGCTATGCAACCAAGGGTGGTGTTTGCCCTCTTGACCACCGCGTCACACGGCTGACTCATGTTCAGCCTGCAGTCGACCAGCACCCCGAGGTCCCTTTCACAAGTGCTGCTCTCCAGCCACTTGTCGCCTAACCTGTCCTTATGACACCCACTCCTATGGCCCAAGTGCAAGACCGAGCACTTCTCCACACTGAACGCCATCCTGTTGTCTCCTGCCCACTTCCATAGTCTGTCCAGATCCCTTTGGATCTGGAGTACCTGCTCCTCAGTTGTGGCCACTGCCCCAGTTTTAGTGTCGTCTGTGAATTTGATCAGCAGACTGTTCACCCCTTCTTCAATGTCGTTAATGGAAAGATTAAACAGGATCGGCCCCACGACAGAGCCCTGGGGGGCCCCGCTTGTCACTGCCTGCCATCCTGATGATTCCCCCCTAATGGTTACCTTCTGCTTTCGGTCAGTCAGCCATGCCCTAATCCACCGGACAGTGCTTTGCTGTACGCTTCAGTATACTGAAACAAGCTTAAGTATTTTCCATGTAGAGCAGCTGGTATTTGTCTCCTTCCCCAGCTCCCAAAACAAGGTCTGTTTGACCTTGTTTGAACTAGAGACCGGGAAAAGAAAAAAGATGCTATATGAAGGAGGTCAGACTAGATGGCCCGGGAGACCCCTTCTGACTCGCTCTGTTTCTATGAACTCACCCCTTCACGGCCATTTGATTGGCTGTGTGAATAACGTGCTGCATTCAAACAGCAGAGCAGAAGAGGAAATTAATGGATTCCTGCAAGGCCTCCCGATTCCTCAGTTTGTGTGGATTTTTCAGAGGTTCATCCTGAGCTGCATGTCCGTGGTCCTTGCGTCCTGTCCAGTCAGTTCCAGTTTAGGGTCATCCTGTGAGAGAGCTCCCCGGAATGCCCCTTTCAGCACTTATAAATAAATCCGTGGCTGTGGCTTCCTTCGTGGAGCGCTCCATCCCCATCAGGTTTTGAGTGTGCGGCCATCGGTGTGCTGAGGACACGCAGCTCTGCCTCCGTTTCGTCGCCGGCAGGTCAGGCTGTGGATGTGCTGAACCGGTGCCTGGCCCTGGATGAGGGCCAGCGAGCTGAAGTTCAGTCCGGACAAGACTGAGATGCTTTGCTGGTTCTTCTGACCAGAGGGGAAGCCCCCTCCTGCTCTAGACGGGGCTGCGCTTCCCTCGAAGGAGCAGTTTCGTAGCTTGGGGGTGCCCCCGCAGCCGTCTGGGTCACCTGCGGCCCAGTGCTCGGAGCTCAGCTACAGCCCTGTTGGGACAGAGAGAGCCTGCTGTGCGCTGGTGCTCTCCAGACTGGATTGCTGCAATGCACTCTGCGTGGGGCTGCCCTTGAAGACTGTTCAGAAGCCGCAGCTCATGCAGAACGAGGCAGCCAGGCTAATCACAGGGACCCGACACAGAACACCGGTTCTGGCCTGCCTGCACTGGCTGCCTGTGTGCTTCCCAGAGGCTGGTTTTGGCCCACGAGCCCCTGCACAACTTAGGACTCCGGCACCTGAGGGATGGAATGCTTCTGCTGACCTTTAACCACCTGGGTGCAGTGATCAAGGTCCGAAGTCTTTCTCTGCCCCCCCGCTCGGAGGGAGGCCTGGATGGCGGCAACTGGAAGGAGGGCCTTCTCACTGGTGGCCCCAGTTGCGGAACGGGCTCCCCACCGAGGCTCACCTGGCCCCAGCTTGACCGTCCGTCCAGGGCCGGGCAAAGGCCACCCTCCCCGGCAGGGCACCTGATTGGACACTGAGGCCTGTTGGCATTCGGTCGGGGTCTAACTGGGCCTTTCTTAAGGTGCATGTTTTGTTTCCTAATTTGTTTTTAGATTTTGTATTGTCAACGATTATGATGTACATAATGCTTTAATTGGCTGTTTCATACTATTTTTGAAAATAAGTTGTTGCAAACCACACAGAGCGGTTCTGCTGTTGGACACTTTAGTAATTAAATCAATCGACCTCATATTTGGCCTTCCCTCTGTTCCTCTGCCTTCGACTTCCCCTTGCCAGGCTGCATTCCCTGGGAGTTTTGCCTTTTTACTGCTGTGCCCGCAGTGCGCCGGCCCCGGCCAGCTTCGTCGTTTTTGCTTCGCAGGATCACGCTGGCTTTGATCTCGGCCCCGCTTGTTCCAACGCGCTTGTCTTTCTGTATGAGGCTGGAAAACACAGTGCGCTTCAGCAAAGCTGAAGAAACGGTTCAAAACTCCAGGTGCCTGAGCAATTCCCTGTCGCCCCTGCAAGTCGGCCTGTCCTCGTATCCACAAAACGGCAGTGCAGACTGAGCCTGCTTAGACCTCCAGAGCTTTGCGCACGGCCGCGATCCTCTTGGCTTTGCTTTTGGCTTTATAGACCACCAAGGCACGGCGGCCCTCTCATCCGCTTGCAGAAATCATGGTTGAGTAACAACGATACCAAACGAAAATGCATTTTTCATTTAAATGGCATAATTAAATCAGAAGTTAAAAATCTTGTTAACGTTCTTTTTGAAAACAACCTGTGTCGGTGCCAAAATAATCCCTGGTGGCGGATGAGGGAAGCCGTCTGCTTGATACGGGCAGATCGGCCCTTTTCCGTGTGTCCGTGCAGCTGCCCACAATGCTGGTGAGCAACTCACGGGGCGGCCCGTCGCGCTCCTGCTGTTTCACGGCATTGTGGCAAAGCGCTCTCGCTCCCAGGTCTGGGCCATAGCTCTATGCTGCTCTTGGAATGTGGGTGTGGGGGGCGTGTGGCGGGGGCTGCGGCGATGGAGGGGGCTGCGCAAGGGTGGCCACGTGTGGCGAGGACCCTGCCTGCATTCCAGGCTGGAGGCAGCGTGGCCGCGTCAGAAGTGCGCAGCTGGGACAGTGCTGGAAAATTCGGGCTGCCGGGAACTCCTGGCTGTAAATAACCAGAGGCAAATGCTTAACGAGACCCCAGAACAAGGACTGCGGTAAGCACGCAAAGCAACGGAGCAGCCGATTGCGGCTTATACTGGCCATGTTCTCTTGTGTTTTTCCTGGGAAAATGCTAGGAATCTTATACAACTGAAGCTGCAGTTGGAGGCAGGGACGTTTTCAAGGCCCCCGTGCGTGCTTCAGGAAAGGAGCTGGCTCGCCAGGTGGTGCGGGCGGCTGTGCGATTCCTGTGCTCGGTGCAACACCCTCACCCCGCCTGCTGGCCTGCTAGGGCCACCTGCGCACCGGAGGGGTGGCCGTCCTGAGCCCAGCCGCCCCAGAGCCCAGAATTGCCTTTGGCTTTCCGGGGATCCGCACCGCATTCTTCCAGATGCAGCCGCTGGACTGGCGTGTCCTGGCACGAGGCGGCGTCTCACAAGCCCCTCTCGGGGCTTCGGCCCCTCGGTTCATGGCCCTCCGCCCGGGGCTTCCTCAGCAACTCCTCTGAAGCCTCTGCTCACAGCCCCTGTGCGCGGGTGCTGGTCGCGAGCGACACGGGAGGCGCCGTCTTCTGCCCGTTGGGCCCAGAGAAAGCCGCGACTGTGCCTGAGGCATGCTGGGAACTGGAGGCCTTTTCTCCATCCGAACAGGCACAAGGCTGCCCCCTCACAGCCATTTCGCGGCCAGTATTCTGGTCACACTGACTCTGACCAGTGGACGTCGCGGCGGCATTCCGTAAATGAGCCGTGTGCCCTGCGTCCGCGAAGCCGCTTCCCTCTGCGGCGCCCCGTGTGCCGTGGCTGGCGCAGCGTTAGGGGAGCGTGCGCCGATTCCCCGCGTGTCCTTCGTTTCATGCGCAGGTCCTGGAAGCCTTTACCAGCCGACTGACCAGGCTGCGGATCTTGTCTCACCGTGACATTCCCACGCTGACAAAGTACCAGATAATCCTGGCACGGGATCAGTTCCGGAAGAACCCTGCACCTCACTTGGCGGTAAACTTTCGCAGCCGGATAATTCTGCTGCACGAGCTCTTCCTCCGCTTCGGTGCTGCTGCTCAATGCTGGAGTGCTTTTGGGATGCGCAAGCGTTTTCCTCAGTAGCCATCGGAGCGACCTGCGGGGCCCACGAGTGGCGCCATCCCCATATTACGGGGGGTGAGAGGGCGGAAAGGAGTTGGCACCCAAGAGCTCCAGGGGGACGAGCGCTGCAGAGCAGGGGTGAGCCGAGGATTCCTGCCCCACTGAGCTGGAGACAGGAGACAGGGTGGGTCTCCCTCCCCAGGCTCTCGGGCCGCCCAGCGCTCAGGGGCACAAGGTGAGCGGGCGGCTGCCTGGAAGAGGCGGCCCTGGGCCCGCGGCCGGCCTCTCCCCTCCCTCCCTTGGCCGCCTCCCCCACCGCGGCTCCGCCGCGGACCTCCTGCAAGCAGCTCGGCTCCTCTCCTCTCCGCTTGCTTGCTTGCCGCCTGCTCTTGCCTGCTTGTGGAAGGGCAGCCAGGGCTGCTGGCTCGGCTCGGCTCGGCTTGGCTAGAAGTCGGGAACCAGGCTGCTTCCCAGAGGGGGTCTGAGGGCTCAAGGACCCCGCCAGGGAAAGGGCCGTGGCTCAGTGGCGACCGAAGCTGCGGGCCCTCCCGGCGGGGGGCCAGGTCCTTGGAGAGCCCCGGGAAGAGACTCGCCCTTGTGCTCTTGCCACGCGCCCTTCCTTCGATGGGGAGGGTGGTGCCGCGTGTGCCCAGGCGGTGCGGCTTCGGCACGGGCGTGTGTGGCAGAACGTGATGTTTCCGCAGGGGATGCCGCACGGTGCGATCGAAGGCGATTTCGCGCTGTGCATCAGTCTGTATCACGGCTACGAGCTCCTGCTGCAGGTGGGGATACGGTCGCTGCACGCGTTCTTGCGTGGAATTATGGACGGAGAAAAAGGTACGGGTGCCTTCGGGTTTCGCCGGGGTGTCACATGCACAGGAAATCAGAAACGCTTGTAAGCTGTTTGCAGAAGTCAGATTTTGGGGAGAGAAGTCACTCATTTTGTGCCCGTGGGTAACGTGGCGCGCAGAGCGAATGCCAGCTTATAGAAGAATTGGCCCGCAGCGCCGCTTCTGCTGCTTCCTTTGCTTCAAGTGGCCCATCCGAGCGAGTTGTAAGCTCTCGCTTCTGGCTGATCAGCCCGTGCGAAACATCGCTGGGCAGGCCTGGGCAGGGTGGGCAGAGCCAGCGAGCCCGCTGGGAAAGCAGAGCGCGCTGCGGCTCGGTCTCACCGCTTGGGGCTTTCGGAGACGGGGCCCTCCCGCCCTGTGCCCAGCCTGGATCTCCCGGGACGGAACAGAGGCGCCCACGCTGTCCTGGCCGGGGCGGTGGTTGGGCACTCGGCTCCCCCGAGTGCTCAGCACCTGGCGGCCACCAGGTGTTCGGTTCGAGTTGTGTAAACAAGTCGTGTCTTTCAGGGATGCTAATGTTAGACCCCCTTTCCTTCAGAGGAGATGGTGAACTGGCGACAGGCCTCCTGGAAGGGCTGCCCCCCGGATAGGGCGGGGTTGTTGCTCGCTGCTCCGGAGGGCAGGCCAGGCCAGGCCAGGCCAGCCGTCTCGAGTCGCGGGAGAAGGGCTTTGGCAGAGGGTTGAAGGACGTGCGGCTCAGAGCAGAGACAGGCGGCTGCCGTAGCTTGTTCTGGGGCCAGACTGCCTGGATGGCGATAGTGATCCGTGGCTCGTCCGTGGCTTTGTCGAGGGCCTCATTGCACACTGAGGAATAGATTCGCACGCCGGTTTGATGTGCGACACGTGTGAGCCAGCAGGAATGTCTCAGCACCCGCAAATTCTTCTGTCCCCTTTCTAAAGGCATGACCCGTGCGAGAAACGAACTTGTGCGTAACGAGGACTTCATGAAGTTGTACAACAGGCTTCAAAACCTGCTTTCAAGCAGCGAGGAGACTTCGGCAAACTGCAGCAACGGAAGAGCAGGTTGGCGTTTTTGTAGTTAAGACAAGACGCAGTTTGTTCGTGGCAACTGGCGCTAGGGAAGGCGTATACGCAGGCAGAGCTGTTTTAGAGACTTTGCAACTAAAATGAAAATGTGGGGCTTTGCAGGAGCTGAACCCGGGAAGCCATTCTTCTATAGCCACCCAAAGTTAAAGAAGTTAGAAGAAGTCGTCGTAGGACATTTCAGATCCTGGAAGGAACGTGAAGGTAGGATTCTGCGTGTAATTAAAATGCTGAAAGGTGATGAAAAACTTCCTTGTATAGTATAAATTACATTCTACACTCTGCTGATTTCTACTTCTGATGAAATGATTTATTTAAAAGTATTTATTGATTGCTCTTACCTCATAGTTTGCCAATTAGTTTCTTCAGTGATGTTCATCAGTGTAAAATTTATAATTGGCTCACCAGAGTTTGTGGCCTCTTTGCAAAAGGCAAGGAAGCTTCCTTTGAAGGGTGGAAATTGTGCTGACATGAGCAACTTGTTGGTCCTTTAAGTCATAAAAGAGCGGGCAGGAGACCTTTGAGAACCACTGTCTGTTACCTTTGAGGAATCGCGGAGGATGGGGAAGTGCCAGACGACTGGGGAAGGTCTAATGTTGTCCCTGTCTTCAAGAAAGGGGAAAAAGATGAACTGGGAACTCTAGATCAGTCTGTCTGACATAATCCCTGGGAAAACTCTGGAGCAGATATAAAGCAGCCAGCCAGCAAACACCTTGAAAGCAAGGCAGTGATGACTGGAAGCCAACATGGATTTCTCAAGAACAAAACCTGCCGGACGAATCTGATTGCGTTCTTCCAAATTGGGCAGCCACCCTGGTGGCCTGTGGCAAAGCTGTGGACATAATCTACCTTGACTTCAGCAAAGGTTGTGATCAGGTGCCCCACGATCCCCCGATTAGCAAACTGGCTGAAAGTGGGCTAGATGTGCAGGGAATGAGTATCGGATTTGCAGATGACACGAAACTGGGTGGGACAGCTAATACCTGGCAGACGGAAAGAAGATTCAAGGTGATCTTGGCAGGTTGGAGCACGGGGCAGAAAACAACGGAACGGAATTCAGGCAGGACCGATGCCAAGTTCTGCACCTCGGAAAAAGAAACCAAGTGCCTCTTTTCGAGACGAGGGATACGTGGCTCAGCAAGGATCTTGGGATCGTTGTCGCTCACACGCGGAACATGAGTCAGCGGCGTGATGCGGCTGCGTGCGTGTCCCTTGCAGGTCCCACGAGGCGCTGGTCGCCCCTCGCTCGGCACCGGCCGCCCCTCGCTCGGCACCGGCCAGGCCTCCTCTGGACGCCGGGCCTCCGAGAGGAACGGTTTAACGACGTCCTGCACTGAACGGGGGTTGGATTGGGTTGTCTTCCGGTCCCTTCCACCTCTACTATTCTGCAGTTCTGTAAGGTTACTATCCCTTAAAAAAGGCACCTTTCGTGCTTGAATCTGCTTTCTTTCTCATGAAATTGCTCTGAATTTATTTATCTATTTAAAATATTTGTACCTCGTCCTATACGCAAAGCGTCTCAGGACAGCTTACAGAAATCAAAACAAACCATCCATAATCAAAAACAACAATGAACAATAATTAAGAATATACGTAAAACCAACAGTAACATGTCTCCAATAAAACCAAAGTCAAAACCGAATCAAGATCAGAAAAAAAACAAAATCAAAATGCGGCTGTAGATAGTGAAAACCAGATTTAAAATTCCTGATTCTTAAAATGGTGGGCAAATAAAAAGGTTTTCAACTGGCGCTGAAAAGAATATGAAGTCGGAGCCAGGCGAACCTCTCTGGGGAGCACATTCCAGAGTCTGGGCGCCACCGCAGAAAAGGCCCTCCTCTGGCGGAGACCATCCTCGCCTCTTTACATGAGGGTTCCCGGAGCAGGGCCTCTCCTGCCGCTCTTAAGGGGCGGGAGGGCCTACAGGGAGGGAGACGTTCCTTCAGGTATCCCGGTCGCAAGCCGCTGAATTGGGCCTCTGCCTTCTGAAATCCACACCGATTCTGGTGCAGAAGCGTGTTGCTGATGGATCTGCTTTCCGTGTTGATCAGGAGGGAGCTCGGGTGACGGCAGGCCTGCAGAGACCCGCGTGATGGTCTTCTCCTCCTTCCGCGACAGCGTGCAGGAGATTGCCGAGATGCTCAGCCAGCACCACCCTCTGGTGAAGGTCATGACCTTTCTGGGCCAGTCGGCGGGCAAGCGGGCAAGAGGGTTCACGCAGAAGGAGCAACTCGAGGTATGGCGATTATGAGTTTAGTCCGTACGTCGGCCTTCCTGCAGATACTTTGCGCCCAGTAGCTGCAGCTCACCAGCATGACGTGGAAATGGCTGCCTTGCAAATATTTCCAGATCGGTATTAGCAAAGTGCCTGAATTTACTGAGGTCGATGCAGGGATTAAGAATGTGGCTGTTTTAATCTGCCCGTAGGCTTACAACTCAAAAGATACACTGCTCCCAAGTAACACCCGCATGCAAGTGCACGCACCCCCCCCCCCCCTCGGAAGTCCCCAGCCCCAGTTCTGGGGCGCCTGCTTCCGCAGCACTGCCCCCTCGCAGCTTGGGTTGGCCGCCTGTGGAATTCAGGGGCTCAGTTCACCTGCTCCCACGGAGCAGAAGGCTTCCAAAGTAATTCCGGCACCCCGCTCTCAAGCATGTCAATCCTACTTAGGTGGTGAAGCATTTTCGCGACGGCGGATACAACACGTTAGTCTCTACATGCGTCGGCGAGGAAGGCTTGGACATCGGAGAGGTTGACCTCATCGTTTGCTTCGACGCGCAGAAAAGTCCAGTTCGCCTCGTGCAGCGAATGGGGCGCACGGGGCGCAAGCGCAAGGGGCGGATCGTTGTCGTCCTTTCTGAGGGACGCGAGGAAAGAGTAAGTCCCGGGGGGGCAGACGAGGCGCAGTCACGTCCCAGCCGCCCGCTGCGCTCGTCGAGAACACCTAAGCACTCCGTCGTTTTATTCCTGTCCCAGGTGTGCTAAAGCCTCCTGGCTAAATCGGAGGCCCGGCAGAGGAGGGGGCTGCGGTGAGGGGCTGTGTGGCCCGCGCAGCCGGTCTGCTCGCAGAACACTCCGGAAGCCGCACGGCCGGCACGTCCCGTCACCGCTCCCTAGAAAATCGGCCGCAGGGAGAGCCTGGGCTGGCCGGCATGTCTTCTCTTGCACCCGTCCCTTGAAACCCGGGGGAAGGGGTTCGGCTGTGTCTTCCTAGACCAGGATAGGGAACCAGGGGACCCAGCGGCCGGGCCAAGCGGGGAGGGCAGTGCAGGGCTGGGCCGCAGCCGCGCTGGAGTCCCCCCTTTGCGGAGTCTCCGGAGAGTCCGGCTCAGTAGCAGGTGCTTGGCTCTGGCGTGGCTGATGACGTTCCGCTGCCGGGACCGGCCGCCCGCCTGCTGCTGCACCAGCAGGTTCCCTCCTGCCCTCACCTGATTTCTGGAAGGTGGGTGGCTGTGCTGCTCGGGGTGTACTGTGAGCCTCCCGGAAGCGTTCCAGAAATGCTCCCAAGTCACCTGCTTGCCTGCGACAGGTAATTCCGGCCGGCCTTTGCAGCGCCTTGCCCCGGAGAAGCGGCCCTGTGCCCGTCTCGGGCGTCCTTGGTGCGCCTGGTCGAATGCACAGTGGGGAACGGGCAGGCACGCTCGCCCAGGGTTGGCTGCTGCACCGAAAGGTGACGCCCCCGTCCCTCTTCACGTTCCAGATGTACAACCAAAGCCAGTCCAACCGGAGGAGCCTCCTCAAAGTGCTTTCGGAGAACAAGGGGCTCCAGCTGTGCAGCCACAGCCCGCGCATGATCCCCGAAGGCATAAACCCCACGATGCACCGGATGCTGGTGATCCCCACAGAGGAGGAGTCGGAAGGCCCCGTTTCGCCCCCCAAGCCGTTTCCCCTTTCCACCGGCACAGGTAAGACGGCTGGGCGGCTGCTCACCTGCAGCTGGCGCGCCAGACAGCTGTCCCTCTCCCAGGAAGCCGAAACTTGGACGATCCACCCAAAGACGCTGATGGGCAGATACAGGAAGTGTCTCTTTGCATGAAACACCATCCGCTGAAGGAATTCACATGCGCCAGATTTTACAAGTTCCGCGGAGAACGACTAGAGCGATCTTTCTGCCGTTCAGTGGGGCAGGCAGCCCAGGGGATGCTCCTGCTGCCACGGCCGGTTGCTCGGGGGCAGCAGCCTCTTCAGATTCCCCGGGAGGAGAGTCCCCTTCCCGGTGACCCCGGAACAGCGGGCATTGCTGCTTCGGGTCGTGCGTGGCTTGGAAGCACCGCGGGGGAGGCTCTCCCCTCAGGGGCCCCTGAAACTGGCCCCCCGAAACTGGCCCCCCTCGGTCAGCATCTTGCCCACTGGCCAGTCTGACTCACAGTGGCAGGGGCTGTGTCCCCGGTCCGGTCCAGTGTGGGATTCTGAAAGAACTGGGTGAGCGGGCTGGGAAGAGAACGGTGTCCGAGACGGACCCGTCCGGGCTCATTCCCGCCGGACATCCCCTTGACGTTCTGGAGCCGCAACCCTTCCGCTGCCTTTGGCACTGGCCTGGCTCGGATCAGACGCCAGCCAGCTGTGTGTCGATGAACCTTCAGGGTGCTGCCGCGCCGTTGTGGATATGCAGAGCCCCGTTGCCCCTCGTGCGGCTTGACGGCACCTCTCGGGGTTGGTGGATTCCCGGCCCTCCTCTTGGGCGCCTGCCTGCTTTGCAGTGTCTCCCTCCAACCCGGAGGTGGCTTGGGACGCAGCAGCTTTCTCAGCAACCTCGTAAGCCTGGGCGTGTGCGTCACGTTCCAGCCCCCCTTCCTCCGGCTGGGGTCATGCGGCACAACGAGCGGTCCTGCGTGGTTACCACGCTCCATGGGCTTTCCTCAGACAGCCAAGCGGTTGCCCGCGTTACCATGGTTCCTCTCTGCTCGGTCTTCCTGCTGTTGGCATGTGCCCCGTGTTAGGCCACTTGGCCTCAAATCCAATGCCAAGGGGCCCGGCACCCTGCCGGTGCTGCCCGCTTTTTCCGTATGGGTGTGCGCGTGGAGGCTGGGTGGCTGGAGAGGCTCCAGAGCTGCCACGCTCCGAGGGACTCTGGTAGTCGCACACCACGGCCCTGGGAAACACGTTCCTGCGTTCAGACAACATGGAACGTGAGAAACCACAGAACAAACCGTTGTGTCTTACTGTGGTTTCCAAAGACCAAACTTACCGTGGTGACACATCACGGCCGGGTTCAGACCTCACGACAGACCAGCCGTGGTTCAAGAACTGCGGTGGCTTGTCCTGTGCCTGAACCCAGCCTTCGTCTCGTTGGCGTTCCGAGGCTGCGCGCTCCCGCTAGGAATGCTGCTTTGAGGGAAGCGGGCCCCGCCTTCCCCCGGTCTGCCTCCCTCTCCCCTGGTCTGCGGGCAGCCAGATGCCGCACGGCGGCCGGCGAGCAGCACGAGATGGGGAGCATCGCCCCCTGTTCTGTGCTCCTGGTGCTGCAGACAGGCAAACAACGGGACGGCTCCCTGCTTGGTGTGGTTTCCCTGATGGCGTTACAAGCACGATCTGCATCGCTGTTGCGGTGACCCTGTTCGGAAGGTCCTGCTTTGTAACCAGCTGAGCTGCAGTGAGAACTCTTCCTCCAGAGGAAACCGCAGAAGAAGGAGGGGAAAAGGAAACGCAGTGTCCCTGCTGCCCTTGCCCCCCAGGGATGGAACGCTTTTCCCAGATAAATTCTCTTCAGATCAGTATTGTTTTACACTCTTCGTTTTAGAAAACTGTATTGCTGTGGTACCTTGAAAACTTGCTCTGCCGGTGCCTCATATGCGTATCTATTAAGTGAACAAGCGTCTTGCGGTGCAGCAGATACGTACCGGCGTGTGAAGCAGACGAAGCCAAGCCCAGCGAGCAGGGCCGGTGTGCAGCGCTTCCGACCGCCCCTCTGATTCGGAGTCGCTTTTCTCGCCGCGAAAAAGACCAGCTTAGGGCCGGGGGGCGAGGCTGCCACTGGGGCCAAGGCAGCTGCTGCTTTCCGGGAGAGGGGGCTTCCGAGGGCTCGGACGGAGGGGGGACGCTGGTGGGTGCCTTGGCAGTCACCGCAGGGAACATGTTCAAAGGATCCGTTTGGTTTGGGTGTGTACGACCGACAGCCTGAGCTGATGTGAGGGGAACTTACCTGAAGGAGCGCTTACATCCATACTTGCCCAGTCGCCCCCTGAGATCGGCGGGAGAGGCCCTTCTCCGGGAGCCCTCCGTGAGAGAAATTAGGAGGGTGGCTACTCGGAGAAGGGCTTTCTCAGCGGTGGCGCCTAAGTTATGGAATGCGCTCCCCAGAGAGGTCCGCCTGGCGCCGTCGTTATTTGTTTTTCGGTGCCAGGCTAAGACCTTTTTATTTAAGCAACATTTTAAATGCTAAATACAATTGAATTTTATCTGGCCAGGGCGGCTTATTTTATTTTATAATGTGTGTTTTAATCAAGATTATTTTATATGGATTTTAACTTATTGTTTTATCTATGTTGTAAGCCGCCCCGAGGCTTCGGTGAACGGGGCGGCATAAAAATGTTTAAATAAATAAATAAATAAATAAATAAATAAACGTCATCCGGTTCGCGTGGGAGAACGATCCATTGGCTGCAGCTCACCTCCAGAGAGCTGTCCATAGCGGGCCGGGACTGTCGGGTCCTGTAAGGACGGGTCGTTGCGGTCGGGCAGCCGGCGATACGGCTCACGCCCTCCGTTCGCAGCCAGCGGGGAAGAGGGAGGGAGGAGAGGAGAAGAGGGGCTTGCCCCTCAGCGGGCTCCAGCCTGCAGGGCGGGCAGCCTCGTGGCGGATGCCAGCAGCCGAAAAGAATAACGTGGGTGGGAAACCGTGCGGCCTGGCCTGTGTGGGAGAACTGCCTCACCGGTCTCTCTCCGGAAGCACATTTCCTCCACGGTTTTCCTCCCCCTTCTCCAAACTTGCAGGTACAAATGGAGCCCGTCGCGCAGAAGCGTGGTGCCTCACAGACAAAGAGTTTGAAAGGTGGAATCGGTTATATAAAATGGAAGCTGGGGATGGAATGAAAAAGCCAGTGATGCCGCAGAGCCACTTTGAAACGTTGGAGCACGAGGAGCAGGCAGTGAGTTGCTCCCAGATGGGTCTGTTGGGTGCGCCACGGCCGGGGCCAGAGGTTTTACGTTCCGCCACTCTGAGCGCTCCTCAGCTGAAGAACAGCTACCTGGCAAATACTGTCGAGCGCAGCAGGCGGCCGCTTGCTGTGGCAGGTTCTGTAGCGGAATTACGTGGCTGTCACACCGAACGAGGCGGTGTTGTGATTCATGTTATGAACTGTCAGGTCACCTGCTCAGCTGCCGAAATCCCAGGGCCACGGCTTCCTCCTGCAAACGAGCCGTCTCATTTTTATTCGCTCTTCCGCTTCCTTTTCTGCCTTCAGCTTCCAATAGAGTTATTCCCTCCTCCGGGGAGTCTTGTCTTCTCGCGATGTGCTCGAAGTGCAGAAGGTTCAGGTTCGCCATTTTTGCGTCCACGGAGAGTTCCGGCCTGATTTCATCCAGGGCCCGTTTGTTCTCCTCCTGTTGGTCTGGGGTCTTCACAGAGCCTCACGCCCGTTTCCTTTGTCTCGGCTTCCTTCCCTGTCCAGCTTTCATGCCGGTCCGTAGTGATCGGGAATTCAAGAGTGTGGCTGAGCTTGGCCTCGGACTGAAACTTCTTTACACTCGAGGATCTTTCTCGTTCCCTCAGTGCTGCCCTTCCGAGCCTCAGCCTCCTTGGAATCCCTTGGCTTCTGTCTCCTTTAAATGTGCAACTGAGCTGGTGTGTGTGGAACCTTTCACAATTTTGATTTCATTATTTACCGTTAATAATGGTCTGCAATTCTTCTGCAGACATATTTTGTGTTTCCTTAATATTCAGCGGCCCTGCTTTTATGCCAGCTTCTTTCACTTTCATCAGGAATCATTTCAGTGGATTGCTGCTTCCTGCCCGGAGTATGGCATCATCTACATTTTTAAAAACATGGATGTATTTTCCGCCAGTTTGCTTTCGTTCTAAACCAGCGTGCCTTATGAGATGTTCTGTGCCCAGATCAAGCAGACCAGGCGATAAAATGCACCTTTGAGGCCTTGCCTCTGGGACACCATTCTGGGTCTCTCTATTCTGTCCCAGCTGTCGTTTCTTGTCCAAAATGCAGGTTATGTATCCTGGCAATCCAGTCTTGGGGCACGTCGGTTTCCTTCATGACCACCCGTAGCTTCTTGTGAGCCATACTGCCAGAGGCTCAGCTGTGATCTGGGCGGCATAGACCGTTGTTCTGAATGTTGTGGTGCACTCCAGTAGCCGGTGTGTATTTGCCATATGATCTCACACATCGCTCCCCTTTCGGAATCCGGCTTGAGCATCGGGGAGGGTGACGTTCTGTGTGGCCACACCGTGAGCATCGCTTCGCTCGCACGGGGAATGAGCCCGACGGTCCCTCGGCTGCTGCACGCCTCTGCCTCCCCCTTCTCGGGGAGCGGAGTGCATTTTGAACGCTTCTGGTCTGCAGGCCGTTGTTTCGTGTCTCTGCGTGTTGGCATGTTCCTGGCGGCACTTGGACATTCTCTGCAGCTCGGGATAGGCCTGCGAGCAGCCGATCTGCTTGGAGTCCTTCACTCTTCTCCAGTGCTTTCAAAGCAACTTTCTCTGTATTTCACTGCATGGTCTTATATGGCAGGATTCCCCTTTGAGGGGGTCTGCTGTCTTTTTATTTCTTCTGTATAGTTCTTCCATCTGTAGTCTCCACCTTTTTCTTATTTTTTCTTTGTCAGATAGTATGCTCCCTTGTTTGTCTCTTAGCATTTCTAATCTAGATTGAATTTCCCTTTGATTTCTTGGATCTCCTGGAAGAATTCTCTTGTTTTCCTCTTTGTCTGTCTTCTGTTTCTTTGCACTGGCCACGGTAATAGTCCTTTGTGTCCCTACATTTTAGTAGCTGAGAAGTTTCATTCCGGGTTCTGACTGTTCCTTTCATGGTTTAACTTTTCCTTCTCCCCTGTCCTGAGCAACACTGCGCACGTCTTCGGTCAGCCATCCAGGCCCTCTCTCGCTTTTCCTGCAGGAATTGCCCGTGGCGTTCTTCCCTAACAGTGTCCCTGGATTCAGTCCATAGTTCTTCCGGTGCAGGCCCAGCAGAGCTCAGCGGTGCACCTCTGTTCTTTGTGTGGTCTTTACATCCCTTAAGAATTTTACTGAAAAGGTATTTTGGAACTGTGCTGCTATTCGTGAGGCTTCCAGCTTTACGTAGATATTTTGCCTTAATAGTTCCTGGTCTTGGTCTTCTTTTGGCAGTGGGAACAAGCTTTTCTGTTTCCTATTTCCAGTTACATAGGCTGTTTGATTTCTGTATTGGCCAGCTGGTGATGTCAGTACCTGCAGCCAGCCAGTTATTCCCTTGAAGGATGTATTTGTGATCAACAGATGTTGCCTTCACGGAATTCGGTGAGCCCTTCTTCTGCTTCGTTCCAACCCCTAAGCCACACTTTCCCTCCACATTTGACTCTCCCCTCTTTCCTGCTTTTACTTCGTCACCCATGACGATCCGCGTGCCGCCTCTTGGCAGGGTATCAATTCCTCTTGGACCCACGCATTCGAGTTTGTGAGTTCTTCCTTGCCAGTGTCTCGTGTTGATGCCTAGAGCTGAATAATGTTTACGTTGACAGGTTTTCCGAGAATTCCGATCAATATGATTCGGTCAGACACTGCCTCACAGCCCCCTTCAGCCTGTGCGAGATCTTGCCCCCGTATCAAAGCCACTCTGTTTCTTCCAGGTTGGCCAGTTTCAGAGTAGAACGCTTCGTATTTGTGTGACTGAAAATGCCCCACTGCAGCCCACATCAGTGTACCCACACGAAGGACTGCTCAAATGTTTATCCATTTCATTTCTGCTGTGTGGCTTCCAGGTGCCTTGAGTCATACGGACATCCTTCTGTAGCAATTGACTTAGCAAAAAACTCGTGTATGCAGCATGTATATTTTCCATCCACTTCAGTAATAGCGGAGCGCTCTTGGTCTCTTCAACTAACAAATGGATGCTAAATACTGCATTATAATAAATGACAGGAAAAGGAGGGTTGAAATAAATGTGAGAGCTTTTAATACATTGAGACTTGTCATTCAGGTTGCTCTTTCCAGATATCTGAGTTGATGTTTTGCATTTCCTCATCAAGATGTTTTGCTTTTGTCTTGCTGTGCATTTAGAAGCCCCAGGAGTCGCAGGGGGACGAGGTTCATGAGCTGTCCTTGACGGAATGGAGGCTCTGGCAGAATCGCCCCTTCCCCACCGACCTGGTGGACCACTCGGATCGCTGCAGGCACTTCGTGGCCGTTATGGAAATGATAGAGCAGATGAGACAGGAGGAGGTGGGCAACGCACCCGGGGAAGCCTCGTGGCCGCGCTGTGCAGAAAGATTTCTCCTTCGTGCTTTCACTGCGTCTTCCCAGGGCTCGTACCTACTTTGGAGGCTCTTGGGTGACCGGAAACTGGCCGCAGAGGCAGGATAGTGCAGTGGCCAGAAAGCACCAGAGGTGGCCTTGCTTTGAAAGAAAAGCAAGTGAATTAATTCTCTGGGCATGTGTGTTTCCCATGAAGAGGTTCCGTCGTGGATTCCTTGTCTGTCTTGCTGAGGTGCCCGGCACTTGGCGGGCAGCAGGGCTATTTCGGGAGAGGGGGCTTTCCCCGTGATCCCCAAAGGGGCCTTCTTCTCCCCGTGGCCTCTGAGAGAATCAGTAGTCGGGTAGCAGCGCTTGGATGGTGGAGGGGAGGGCCGAGGAGGAAAGGGCGGCCGAGCGAGGGCTTCGCTGCGAAGCCACGGCAGCTGAGCTGGCCCGAAGCGAGCCGAACTGGCCGCTGTCCGAAGGAGCTGGGTTTTGTTCCAGGTGCTCTGAATAGGAGGAGGTTCTTTGCTGTCTGTCTTTGAGTTCATTTTAGTGTGCATTCATTAGTTATGGCAGAGGCAGAGCGTTCTGTGCCTGCCCGAAGGCGAGAGTTGATTCGATTCGTCACTGTGCGGATTTTGGGCTGCAAAGGGAGTGAACCACTATTTGAGGTCAGCCGAGAGTAGTCTCACGTGACGCGTCCAGCCATGGCGGTTTGTGAGCCGCGGTGGCTGCTTGTGTTCTCGGAGCTCAGCTTCTTCCTGGAAAAGAGGCAAATGACCGGCTCGGCCGTGAGCGCAGCGGCCACGCAGGCGCCGATTCTCAGCCCGCTGCAAGCGCCTCTGGATCGATCTGCGTTGAGCGTCGTGCAGCCGCCCTGGGGGCAGCTCGCTGCTCCTGCAGGGCCCCCCGGGATGCCGCAGGAGGACTGCGGGACGGGAGGGAGGAAGAGGCCCTGCCCTGCCCACCAGGCCTGCGGAATTCCAACCACGGGGCCTCGTGGAGAGCAGTGGGCGCCACTGACGTGCGGGGAAGGCGTGCGGGCCCCGTGGATCGCATGCCGCGGGCCGCCCGGCTAACGCCCGTCTGTCTCCTTTCCGCTCCAGGGGGCCTGTGGCTACGACCAGAGCCTGCAGCCGCACTTGCGCTGGGAGGATGTCGGTGTGCCTGATGTGCAGCGGGGCAAATGTCGCCACGATGCCGCCGCGGCCCGGAAGCCCTCCCTCCCCAAGAACGCCCCCGCGGAGACGCCCGGGGCAAGAGGCCCGCCCCGCCCCTCGGAGGAGCTCGGTGTGGGACGCCTCTCACTCTTCGGGGCGGCCGCCTTGCAGCCTGTGGAACAGCCGCGGAAGCCGAGCGCGGGAACGGCAGCTGCTGCTCCGGGGGCCCCCGGTCCTTCCGGTTCCTTTCCAGCAAGTTCGTCGTCCTTCGTTGAAGATGCCAGGTGGAAAGGGCTTCCTGGTGAAAAAAGGGAAAACCTGGCTGAATCCACCGGAGCAAACGTCCTCCGAGGAAGCGCTGCGAGTTACGGCAGTCTGGCCGGAGGAGAAGTCCCACCTCCCTCCGAAGAGTGCAGCTCCTGCCGTGGACGTGGGCCGGACTCCACCGCTGGCGGCTTGGCAGAGGACGACGTGCCTCTGTCGCCGTCCTTGTTTTATCTTCCAGCGCCAGAGGCAGATCCGTTTGCGCTTCCTGGCGTGCGCGGAGCCGAGGACCCTTCCTGGGCAGAGCGCCTCGGAAGAGAGCTGGCGGTGCTGCTGTCTCAGTCACCCCCGTCTCCAAGCAGGCTCCCTGATTTTGAGGAGTGGGGAGAGAGTCAAGCCCAGCCGCCAGGATCGGCTTCCGGAGTGTTTCCGGGCAGCCCCCTGGAGGAGCGGGCGCCTTCCACAGAGCCAGCCACCACACCGCAGTCCTCCTTGGGACCCGTGGAGCCCCGCAGGCCACGCTGCGCAAATGAGCGCCCGCTGGACTTGGGCTCCGTGTCCGAGGCTTCCATTTGCAAGATGAATGACGTTGACTGGGATGAATTCTTTGACACCGACAACGAAGGCGCAAACCTACTGCTGGCCAGTCATGGTCCAGCAGTGGATGCTTTGGGCAGAAACGCTGGTGGAGGACAGCAAAACCTGTGTAAAACGTCTGGGGGAAATGCAGCACCAGACCAAGCCTCTGTCCGTTTATTAGAAGGAGGCCATTCTGCAGAGAGCGATCTTTCCCCAGGCAGGAAGGGGAGGGGGGTCCCAGTGTCCGTAGAGGCAGGCGGCCCAGCCACTGCTCCGTCCAGCACAGCAGGGCGTTGTTCGGATGGGCTCGCTCAGGCCAGCCACGCGGGCCCCTCGAATCCACAGGAAATCCACTGGGGCGAAGCTCTGGAAGTTGCTGGCGATTGCGCGAGCGAGGCTGACCTCCAGGGCGGCGACGAGCCGTACGACGCTTCTCTGGATTTGTTCTCCGTCAACTTTGACCTTGGGTTTTCTGTCCAGGGATCCGAGGGAGAGGCCACAGAAGCAGCGGAGGCTGAGCAAAGCCACGTCGCGCTTTGCCCCGCGAGCCCCGAGGCCCTGCCCGGAAAGATCAGCAACGTCATGGGCGCGTCTCCAGCAGCCTGGAGTGATGAGTGCCTTGAAAGGGCCATGTCCTCAACACCCTCACGCTCGCAAAACCGGGACTCTGGCTTGGCCACCATGGCAAACGGCATCCCCTGGGCCTCTCCGTTCACACCGACAGGAGACGATCCGTGTCAGCCACCAGCTCTGGCTCTGCCTGTGTTTTCTACCCCAATCAGCAGGCAGCCCGGGCAGCCACGGTTCCCGCGCGGAGCCTCTGTGGGTTGTTTCCCTAGAAACAGCCTGGAAGGCCCACAGGTGCCTGTTGCAGGAAAAGCAAACGCCGGCATAGTCAGAGTTCTGGCGGACTCGGCCTTCAAGACAGGAGGACTCGTGTCGCGACGGGCGGGAGCGGCAGAGAGCGGGGCCCCAAACGGCTCCAGCGTGTTTTCTGCGGAAGGTAAGCCTTCAGCCACCCCCCGCCAGAAATTGCAGGGGTGGAACTGCTGCTGATGCGGACTTTCAGTGGGGCGGGGGAGCTGCCTTTGTGGCAGGGAAGGGAGAGGGGACCGATCGGATCTCTGCCGGGCTCGGTTTGGAGTCCCCCAGGCGCTGAACGTCGGACTGCAGCGAGCAGTGTCTGGGGCATTCCCACGAGGAACGTCCCTCTGCCGGCCCGTGAGTTCGCCCCGCCACTTTCCCTAAAGACCCACTGTAGTGGCAGGAATGCCATTAATGCCGCCACTGCTTCTGGATTTTGACGAGCACCTCTGAGCGCATGCCCAGGAATATTTTAGTTTGCACTGACTGCCCCCGAAGCAAAACCGTCAGCGGCGCCTGGCTTGGAGAGGCTGTCCGTAGGGAAGGAGAGCTGCCGAGCGATCGGGCCAGCCGGGCAAGGGGCGTGCCGGGAGTGCGTCGCCCGTGCAGCTGCGGGAGGAGAAGGAAACCGCGCAGGGAGGCCTCTGGCTCGGTACTTTAGCCGAGGCTGTTAGGTTAGTAATCCGCATGCTGCTTTTCTGAAGAAGAGAGGACCTCGCCAGGGGCTCACAGTGTACAAAGCAGAGCTAACAAATATTCTAACGACACCCGTCGACGCATGTGTGGTGTAACGACCCCGTTTCGAAGAAGTCCTGAAGCTGCAGATCAGATCTGTCACTTTGGACCCTTTTAGGTTTGCCTAAAACGGCGTAGCCTCCGGGGGTGAGTTGAGGTCACACGGTGCCACGAGCCATTTCAGATAACCTGTGGCAACAGGTACCGGGGCGAGTTGGGTGGAGCCGCAGCAACCTCTGCAGCGGCTTCCTGATCCTCCCAGCGTCTTGCCTGCAAGTATTTCACATTCTTGCAACGTGATCTCGGATCCTGCGCTTCCACATTCTTTGTGGAAACCGAAGAATTCCTGAACGTGCAGCCGCTCGTTTGCGTACCTGATCGGAAGCTCCCTTGAAAGTCGTTCGAAGACTTGCAGCCGCGCCCCAGCTCTTGCCTGTCCGGCTCCGCTCGGCGCCCGTGCCCCCAGCGCCCCTCCAGTGGGCGACCTCGGCGTGCCCTGTGCTCCGAAGAGCTGGCTGGGCCCCGAGCTGAAACGGCTGGTCGGGGGCGCTTCTGCGTGGATGGCTTGCCGGGGGCTTGGGCGGTGACGACACCCGTACCTGTGTGGACAGCGGCTGTGTGCCCGATACGCCAAGTGGGCTCACTCTTTTCCCTTTGCCTGCTCTTCCCTCTCCGCTGCGAGGAGGAAGAGCGTTGCGTCCGCTGCCTCGCGCTCCTTGAAGGGGAAGAGGTGGGGCACCTGAGAGGGAGAGCGTGGTGGCTGCACTTTCCGGCACGGCCGGCCTCGCATTCTGCTCTTCCCCGGTGGGTATTTGGTTTGCGGTGCCCGGACCGCACCCTGCCCTGCTGGGGAACTGCTGTCAAACAATGCCCATCTCTCTCGACAGTGATATCTGGAAGAAATGAAACAGGTGTTTCCTTTCTAATGTACAAATACGGTGGAAAATACATTTTCTTACATATTCTTACTTTTGTATTCCGTTGCAGTAGGGGCCAGTAGTGAAAGTGAAGAAGAAATAGTTTTTCCTGGGAAACATAAGAGAAAAGGAAACATTTTGGCATCTCCAAAGGTGAGCTGTTTAGTTAAAATTAAATGCTTACCTCAAACAATCTCTCAGCTCTGGATCTTTAAATACAATTTAACTTCTCCGTTTTTTCCAAGGCGAGCAGCAGTGACTTGGAATCGCCGATTCGTGCCGTCAAAAAACGGAGGCGACTGCTCAGCGAAGTAAGGGCTCCTTCAGCAAATGCAGGAAGCGCACGCGCACCTTCGGGGTGCCCGGATCGGTCCCCCTCGTTAGGGAACAGCCGTTCGCGTGAAGGCCGACTCGGCCTGCCCTTGTGTGCGGCCTGCTTGGCTCGCAACCATGGCAGGAGAATCATGCGTATGTGTGTGAAACTCCTTGTGCTTCACGAAAACAGTGCCACTCCCACCGTCGGCACAGCATCCCACAACGGCAGCGACGCTCCGAGTTGCGGCGGGGGGGTAGCGTGTCTCACACAGCACGTTGCGTGGCGCCCCGTTGTGGGTTCTCGTGTCTCGCAGGGGTTTTGCAGAGCTTGTGGGCGAGTTGCGGCCTGTGGCTGGGCCGCTGTTTCCCACGGTGGCTGGTTGTGCCTTCCAGGTGCGGCTGGCGGAACCCGCCGTGGCTACCAGGCTGTTCTCTTGGGCCACCAGCAGGGCGGCTGCCCCACAAGCGCCTGGATGGCCGTCTGGGGCGGCCGGCACCGGCCACTTGCCCCCAGCACGCTCGCCAGCCCCTTTGCCGCCCCGGCGCCCGCTCCCCGCCACCCACGAGCCTTTTGGCGAGCGCGATTGCGGGGCGTTGGCCGGTTTTCGACGGCCGGTGACAGCCCCTTTGGGGCGCCTGAGCGGCACCCCGGTGCAAGAGGCCCGTGGCCGTGCCCAGGCCCGGCCTCAAGAGGGGCTCTGCACTGTGGCAGCTCGCCGAGAACCCCGCGGGCAGTTGGGGCAGAAAGGGGAAAGGAGAGACCCTCCCCGTGAGGAGGGCGCAAATCGCTCCACTCCCTGTGGTGGGCAAAGAGCCCCGCCGCTCTGCTTTTGCTGGGGGCCTGCCTTTCGGGACTTTCAGGAGAGAGCAAGGCCAGACGTCGGGGCCTTTCCCCCAGCTCCCCCGCCTTCCTGGAGCACGAACCCCACTCTGCCCTGCAGCTGGCCCGGTGGCCCGCCTCTGAGGGGTTCTGCCGCTCCGGCGTACAGTGCAGCCCTGTCTGGTTTGGAACCGGAGCCGGCTCTGCCAGCCCTCGCCAAGGAGCGCCCCGAAGGCCGGTGCTGGCATCACGTGCCCCGTGCGCTGGGGAGGGATGCCGGCTGTGCGCAGGAGCGGGGCGTTCTGGGCTCTGGGGGCGGCTGGGGGCAATAAAGCTGCCTGGCGGCAGAAGCTGCGCCTCCGGGGCCCCTTCCAGTCCCCCCAGGGCTTGTGGCAGGAGGAGGCAGCCTGGCTGACGAGGAAGGCGAGGGGCACCCGGCCCCCGCCGCCTGTCTTCTCGAAAGCCCCTGCATGTCCTGGGGCGAGCGGGGGCAGCTGGTGCGGCCGCGTCTCCCGTGCCCCCGCAGCCGGACCATCGGCAGCCTGCAGGCAACTTGCGGAAGGGGTGGCCCGGCCGGAGCGCTCGCCCTGGCGGGAGCCGCACCGTGCCCGGCGCGAGGTTGAGAGGGCAGGAGGCGCATCCGGTCACGGAGAGCGCCGCCAAACGGAACGGCCCACCTCTGCTCCACCTGTCGGCGCCGGAGTCCGGAGAGGGGGGGGCCGGGGGCTTGGCGCGCGGGAGGCCAGCTCTCACTAGCGGCGCCCGTGCCCGACATCTGGTTCATTCCAGGCAGATTCGTCCAGCGAGGAACGCACAGCGTTTGTTGCGAAATCGAGCCGGAGGAAGCGAGACGGGAAGAGCCGGGCGGCCGTGAAGGGATGGAAGCGGCGGCGGGGCGGTGTTGTGGCGGAGGTGAGCGCCCTCTGCTCGGCGGCACTGCCTGGTGGGGGTTCTCCGGCAGTCCTGCCTTCAGAAGGGCGACGCAGAGGCCCCCTGGGGCTGCGTGCAGTGGGGAGCAATGGGGCCCTGTCCCTGTGGTTAAAGGGATGGATCGCAGGTGGCAGGAAGGAAGCGCCGCCGTCCTGGGGGCTCTGGAGAAGCGTTGCCCGTGGCGCAGGTACGTGAGGCTGGAACGGGGGGCTCGGCCCACGGCCACTTCCGGTGTGGCCCGAAAGCCGCCCCCCCCCCCCGCCCTGCCCGCTTGGTGGTCCTTCACTCAGGGGCTTGACCTCCCGGACTGACGGACGTTCTGCTCAGGCGCCCCGCAGCCATGTTTTCCTTGCGGAAAGGCGCAGAGCAAACTGAACGAGGGGCTCCCTCAGGGTGGGTGCCTGGAATGCTGGTACTTGGGGTGCTTTTGAAGGGGGCCGCTGCGCGTGTCAGTCCGTCTGCTTCGGACTTGCACACCGTGCAGAGGGTGCGCAGGAGCGGCTCTTCCCGTCACCGCTGCCGCTGGAGCCCCTCGAGTGGAAGCAAAGGGCCCACCTTCTGCCGGTGGCACTGTGCCAGCTGCTGCCCGTGGCGCATGGGGATGTGCACACGGCTCCCAGCAGACGCCGGATGCGGCCCCCGGCGCCAAGCAGCTGTGCACCGCTGCTGGTGTCGGGCCGCTTGCTGCGTTACGAAGCCCGGGCGAGGCGACGGAAGAGCGCCGTGTGCGCGCCAGAGCCCTGGAGGTCTCCGGGCGGGTCTTCCTGGCCCGGGGGGCGCCACTGGCTTCCCGCGGGCGATTAGTGCCGGTGGCTGCGCTGCCAGGGGCGCGTCGGCAGTGCGGGGGCAGCCCTGGGGCGCTGCCCCGTCCTGATCGCACGCGAGCGCTCTCTGGGCCTGAGCTTTCGCTTGCCAAAGCTGCGCGCTTTCCCCGAGACGGGTGCTCTCCTCTGGGCGCTGCAGCACGGTTGGCCCTGAGCGGCGGCTGGATGCCCCTTCGGAGAATCATGTGGCAAGTCGTCGTGCCATCGGTGTGTGCAGGTGTGGGGGTGCAGTGGTGCTGGCAGAGTGCGCGTGGGACGGCCCGGCCCCGCTCCGCCCTTCGCCAAGGGCTGGTTTTGGCTTCGCCGCGACACTGAACCAAAGGGCGTAGTTCTGGGTGGATCCCAGTGCCGGCCCAGCGAGCCGCCCGCCCTCGTGGCTGGTGGGCGTCCTGGACTGGCTGCCGGGAGTTGGCCGTGGCCCCGCACGTGGTTTTTAGCCAGCCCGCCACGTTCGAGGCCCCCAGCCACCTGGGGAAGCCGCGCTTGGTGCCTCAGCGGCGAAGTCAAGGACACCCTGTGAACACGGCAGGGTGAGCCTGGGCTGGTGGGCAGGACCGCTCTGTCTGTCGCCCCGTGCAGGCGGCCATCAAGGCCTTCTTGGATCAAGAGGCTGAGCTCTCTGACGAAGCCGCTGCGGAGGTTTCCTCCGACGAGAGCGTGTGCTCGGACGGCGAACTGAGCTCCTCGCTCGCGCGGTTCCTGGACGATGAGTCGCAGATCACGCAAGGACTAAATGGTGAGCGGGAACGGCCTGCGCGCTCGCCCCCTCGGGGGACCTCCCGCCGTCTTTCCCAGCACGGGGGCCGGTCGGGCAGGAAGCTCCCTCGGGCTCGAGCGGGTGGGCCTCCCTGGTGTGACTGCGGTGGGCCTGCCTGGGCTTGGATTTGGGACATCCCTTGCTGCTTCGCCTGGAAAAGACGCTCAACTCGGTCCCACCTGACCGCCTTCCTGCTCCTCTCTCTGTTCAGAGTCGGACATGCAGGCCGTCTACCTGAAATCCGTGCGCAGCCCGGCCGTTGGCAGCAGGTACCAGCTGGTGCACAAAGGCTGCGCCTCGCCGGCCGTCTTCGCACAGGTGGGACGCCGAGCGGCGCGTGTGGCCCTGCGCCCAGCCTGAGTGGCGGGTTGCTCTGCTCTGCTCTGCTCTGCTCTGCAGGCGCTGCGGGGCCCTTTTCGTGGCCCGTCCCAGGGACATGGTGGGAGACGCACCTTCCCCCTCACGGAAGGGGGCCGCAGCCTCTCGCGAGGCTCAGCCGGAAGGCTGCTTCGCGCACGGGGGGGCTCCGCGATGGGCAGAAGTCGCTGTGCTCCTGGTGCTTAGTTTTAGGGACAACCGGGAGCACACACACTTTTTGTCTGGGGATGGGAGAAAACAGGAAAGTCCTCGCCTGCCCTCGGGGAGGAACCGTGTGGGAGCCGGGCTGCCCTCGGGGAGGAATGTCCCCCGGTCGGTGCAACGCCTCGGAGCGCAGCCTTCCTCCCGGGCCGCCCGTGGCAGTCCGGGCGGCAGATCCCCGCTGCCGTGTGGAGACGCAGGAAAGTGCGAGAGGCGGGAAGGGCGATGCGCTCACGCCATTCCTGACGCCCAGGCACCCTGCGACGACCCTTGTTCAGCGCTCGTGAACGCCGGGCCGTGGCTTCGCGGTTGGAATCGCTGCAGCTCGGGCTGCTCTTCCTCTCCTCCTGCCGTCTCCTCCCTGGCATCGCGCTCCCCTCCAGGGACTCTCGTCTTCTCTCGAGGAGTCCAGAGTATGCCAGCCGCAGCTCTGCCAGTTCCGCTTTGAGGCTTGATTATGTCTGGCTTAGAATCATAGAACTGCGGAGTCCAAAGGAGCCCAAAGGGCCATTGACTCCCACCCCCCCGCCCGCCCCTCTCTGTGCAGGACCCCCCGGTAAGCCATCCCTCACCTGGCTGTTCAGTCGCATCCCGAGTGCCTCCAGGGTGGGAGAGCCCACCGCCGTCCTGCACAAGTGGTTCCATCGTTGTCCTGCTCTAACAGTCAGGAAGTGTTTCCTGACTTTGAGCCAGGACCTGCCTTCCTGTCGCTTAAGCCCCTCATCCCGTGTCCTGCACGCTGGGATGATGGAGAAGAGATCCTCCCGAGGCTTCGGCGAATGGGGCGGCATAGAAATGTTTTAATAAATAAAATAAAATAATAAATCCTGGCCTTCCTCTGTGTGGCAGCCCTTGAAGCCCTTGTAGGGCGCTATCCCGGCTCCCCTGCCTTCTCTTCTCCGGGCTAAAGATGCCCGGGTCCTTCCGCCTCCCCTCCTGGGCCTTGTTTGCAGTCACTGGACCGTCCTTGCACCTTTCCCTGGACCCTTCCCAGCCCATCTGCATTTTCCTCAGGCTTGCTGCCAGAACTGGACTCGGGACCCCAGGCGAGGCCTCGCCACGGCCCCCGTGCCTGCATAGTTGTTTGAGGAGGGGTTCTGGAGGCGCGGCCGCTCAACCCTTTCCCTTCCATCTGGCTTAAAAAGGAAAGCTAAACATCTCCATAGCTTGGTGGGTGCTTTGGTGGCCGTCGCCCAGAGACAAGATCCACAATTTGAGAGTGTTGACAGGATGGAAGGGAGAATCGGCACAGCGCTCACTCGAAAGGCGTTTGCAGAGGTTCACATTTGTAGGTCTGCCTGAGACACGCTGGGCCCAGGCGCCCTGGCAGAGGCTGCTTCTCAGGCCTTTCCCAAGCCCAGTTCTTTTCAGGCACAAGCTGTCTCCCCTAAAGTAGCAGAAGTTGGGGGTATAGTACAGCAGGGCTCAACCTCTGTCTGTCTGTCTGTCTGTCTCTCTGTCTGTCCAGGTGCCAGAGCAGGAGGAGAGCTACTTGCAAGACAGCTTCTGCGTTGGGGACAATGAGGAGGGGGATCCCGAATGTGGTTCTAGTGAAGAGGAAGTTTGCGTTAATTTCAGCCTCTTGCAAGGGGAAAGCTTTGCAGACGGGAAGGCGCAGTACTGCACCCGCCACAGGAGGCGGCTGAAAGAGGCCCGCGGAGGACAGGGGGTGGGCGTGCCGCCGCCGCCAAGGAAGCCTTCCCGGATCCGCATTCTCGACAGCTCGAGTGAAGAAGGCGGTGCCCGCGGCGAGGAGCCGGCAGACGCAGCACCCCCCACGGAGGCCGGCGCAGGCGCTCATCCTGCCCCGTCTCTGGCGCCGGACCGTCCTCCGCACCGCAGCAGTTCTGCTCCAGAGCCCCAAGCCCCTCTGCCCCAGGAGCGCAGGGCCCAAGCGCCGCTGGAGCAAGAGGCTGCCTTGCGCGGGGAGCGCCACCCGCACTCTGTCTGCCGGGATCAAGGCCCGCCGGAGCAGGTGGGTGACGCGTGAGCTGCGCCCGAGGGCCTCCGCTCCTCCTCTGGGTGCGCTGGGCTGGCGCAGTCGGCCGTGGCAGCGCTTGGTTCGGCTCCTTGCGGGACCCGCAGCTTTTTTCGCTCCGGCGTCCAGGGGGTGGCTCGCTCGAGCCGTCCTGGAGATCCTCTGGTGGAAGGCGCCGCAAGAAAGAGAAGCGGCACGGGACGGGACGGGAAAGGGCTGTTCTGTTTCTCCGCTCACGGCTGTGCCTGGTCCTGGGCGGCCGGGGTGGCCGGGGGCTCTCTGTCCAGGGCCCGTTGCCCAGGGATGCGGGGGACGGAGGGTGGGGGTGGCCCGCACACGGAGCCGGAAGATCAGGTCCTTTGACGAGTGGCTGGCAGGGCTGGAAAGGAGCAGCTGGCGCTCCCGCAGCCGCACTTTGCACTGGCTGACGCGTCCGCGACTGGGAGCAGGGTGGAAGTTGCGGGTGCCATGGGGAGGCATCCTGGCAGTAAGAGCCGCTTGGAGCTGGCTCCCGGAAGAGGCCGGCTCTTCCCTTCCCCGGGAAACACTCGCCACCTCCTGGGGAGCCTCAGCCGGGCTGTACCTGCTTCCTGCCTAAAGCAGCGGACCTGGCGAGGCGGCCCCCTGGTCCCGTCCGGCTGGTCCCGTGGCTGGAAGGGTGGAGTGGTGGGGGCGGAGGCTCACGGGGATGGCCGGCGTGCCCCTTCCCCCGGCCCGCCCAGGACCCTCCTCTCCCACGTGGCCTTTGGCGTATTCCCTTCCCTTCCCTTCCCTTCCCTTCCCTTCCCTTCCCTTCCCTGGCCCGGCACAGCGAGTGACGCTCTGCCGCGTTGTCTTCGGCAGGAAAGGCCTCCCAGGCCCATCCCGGCACCCAGCGCGCCACCTGGCCCCCCGAGGAGCCTGGCCCCTCTCCGCGTGCTGGTGGACAGCCGGGAGATCTGCTCTGGCCCAGGCGTGGTCTCCGCCCTGAAGGCTGCGCACGGAGCCGAGGTTCAGGCCTGCCCTCTGGGGAGCTGCGATTACGTCGCCAGCAGCCGGCTGGCGGTCGAGAGGAAGCGCCAGGCAGAGCTGTGCAGCGCTGCGGGTCGGAGCCGCGTGGTCCAGAGGGTGCAGCAGCTGAGGCGCCAGTTCGATCGGATCTGTGTGATTGTGGAGGAGGAGCAGGTCCGAGCAGGTTGGTCGCCGGGCCAGGCAAGTCCCCCTGGGGCGCGAGGCTCTCCTCTGCTCATGCTTCCAGCTCTGGCCACCGAAGCAGGAGTGGACGGAAGCCGCCGGTGGTTTCCCAGTTGCTCCAGCCGGCCGTGCGATCCTTCCAAGTGGCGAGGGCAGGCCGGGGGGGTCAGGCCGGGGTTCATTCGCTGCTTCATATACCGCCTCGCTCGTTACAGAGCTGTCCAGGCAAGGGCATTGCCCTCTCCCCGGGACGTGACACGCTGATAGCCAAGCACGGAAATAGCATTCCTGGCCTGCCACAGCGCTGAACTCCACCCTTGCTCGCTGGGGCAAGAGGAAACGGGCAGCAGCCAAGGAAATGCGGCTGGATTTCCAGGAAGCACCGCGCCTCTGGCCTGCCTGTGCCTTCCGGGGAAGGCTGCCCAGGACCGCCTCTGCCTTGCCCTTCCAGGTGAGGCACGGAAGCCGCTCCGCAGAACCAAGCACTACGACGGAGTCCTGTCGGCGTTGGTCCGGGCAGGCGTCAGGGTTCTCTTCAGCTCCTGCCAAGAGGAGACGGCCGGCTGGCTGGCAGAGCTGGCTCTGCTGGAGCGGCGGAAGGACGCCGCCATCCTGGGGCCCACCGAGCTCCAGGGGCTCCGGCAAGACGCCCTCCGCTTCTACCTGAGCATTCCTTGCGTCAGCTACGCGCTGGCGCTGGCCCTGTGCCACCGCTTCGGCTCCGTGAAGGAGGTGCTGAACAGGTACGGCGGGGCCGGCGTTCTGGCCGTGCAGCGCAAGGGAGGCCGGGCACGTCCTGCCCCCCCCCCCCCCCACGGCACCCTCTCCCCGGCCCGTCCTTGGGACGGGGACCAGACTGCGCATGCCGTTCCACGAAGCCAGCGGCTGGCTCAAAGAAATGCAGAACGAGGCGCCAAAGCCCCATTCAGAGGGTGCTGCTCATGCGTAGGAGATGTGGGCACGGTTATGTGAATTAGCCCCCCCCCCGCCCGGCATCTGCTCAGCTACAGGCCTTAGTGAGCCATGTGCTGACTGGGGCGCGTGGGCTGAGCAGTACCTTGGGGCGCATCGGCCTGTCCAAGAGAGGCACCGCGTCCCTTCGCGCTGGGGGGCCGCATGGGGACCGGCACACGCAAGCCAGCCAGCCTCGGGGCTGCGGACGGCCGCCGTGCCCTCCCCGACCGGCCCGGCTCAGCCCGGCAGCTCCCGCTTCCCCTTCCCGCCCTTCCCCGGGCCCCACCTCTTCCCTTCGTTCCGTTCCAGCTCGCCGGCGGAGGTGGCGGCCCGCGCCCAGGTGAGCCGGCAGAAGGCGGACGAGCTCTTCCACTACGTCCGTTACGGCTTCGACGCGCAGCTGCTGCCCGAGGCGCACAGGTGACCGGCTCTGAGCCAGCCGGGCAGACGCACGCTTGATCCAATGCACTTTATGGCTCCGCTCGCTCACACGATGCAAGATACGTGAATAAAGGTCCGGAGTGAGTTTGTGTGGCACTGGCTTGCTCCTGAGCAGGCCGCCGTGAGCCCTCGTCTGCTTCTCCCCAGGGACGGCCCTCCCCTTCAGGACGAGCTCCTAAATGTTTGCCCCCTAGGGGGGCAAAACAAGCAGCCTTCCGGAAGCCGGGGGCTGTGGGCCCAAGCCCTGGTGGCCGCACTTGCCCTCTGCTGCTGCACCCCCCCTCCTGGCCTCGCTGCTGGAATCTGGTCGATCGAGTGATCTTCCACAAGTAGCCCTTACGTTTTCTCACCACCTTCGTCTCAGAAAAACTCACGGAGGAAAAAGGGGGAATGTGTGCGCAATGCCTTTTTCATCTCTTTTCTGGAGGAATCCCATCACAGCAGAGCGAGGATCTTGTAGGGGAGTGCAAAGGATTGAACGAGGGGATTAGGCACAGAAGCAGTTGCACTGAAGGACAGAAAAACAGAAATTGCGCTTGCTGGCATGGATACTGATTCCGCACCAGTCCTTCAGGCTCTGGCCCGGCGTGTGGCTGCCTTGGGAAAGGGTTTGCTGCCCTCTTGTGGAACGCTCCCTTTCCGTGCTTTGGAAAAATGCTTTGCTATGACAAATGTTCCGGAGGCGACTGTTATTACCAAGTCCTCCAAAGTTAGTCCCAGTATGTTACTTTAAATGTCACTTTAATGCTGTTAATGGAGAATGGTCCAGGTGGGTGGAGGGCTCTCCTGCTGACCCCCTCCCCCCCCAGTATCTGTCCCCCTCGGACCACCATTCACCGCATGCCCACTTAGCTCCTTCCTACAGGAAATGCCAGGCAGCAGCCAGACTCTGTGTGGAACTCGCGCTGCCTAACGTGGGGCCCTTCACTAGCAGGCTAGTGTTCCATGCATCTCATGAAGTGGGCGGCTGCCCAAGGAGCTCGAGACGTGATACATTTATTGTTTTTAATGCAAAAGGCAACAGAACGTGGAAGACATTTCCAAGAAAAGCTTGTAATGCGCAGCTTGGCCTGATAAATCCATCCTGTTCCCCTCCTCTTATCTTGGTGGTCAAGGGGCGCCACTTGCGTTGCTGGCCCATTGATGCAACCAGAGTTTGCAATTTACCCAGTCAAGAAGGTAAAAAGCAACTAGGAGCTATTCAGAAAGTACATTTAATAGAAAAATACTTGAACGCTGTTTTTTACATAGGAAACGTATAGCTCCTTTAAACAATTTCTTTGCAGGTTTATTGTACAGTACATTTTAAAACATTATTTTGCTTAATTAAAAAAACCCTTGAATTATCTCCTCAGCTGATGCCTTTCTGCATATCCTCTTCAAGCAGGTTGGGTCAGAGAGGAAAATAAACAGAAAGGGAGATGTTTAATCCCCGTTCTGAACACCACAATGGGAAGCAAGGAAACTGATCCCTTAACACTGTTGGCCACTTAACATCGCTCCGAGAGAAGCAAGTAAAAACTCAAAAGTTCCTGCATAATTCATTAAAAACTGGCAGGAGAAACCATCCTGGTTCTGAGGCCACCAGACCCCCGGAGACTGGCCTGCGGCCTCAGAACATCTGCTGGGAGGACCTGGGGAGGCAGGCGCTGGGCTGCTAAGAGCTGAAGTACAAGTCCTCCTCTTCATCAGACTCCTTTCTTTCGTCCACTTGGAAGAGCCGCCCACCCCCAGGAGAAGCCAGAACATCTGCAACGAGAAGGAGCATCTGGGAGTTCAGTTCTGTTCTGTTCGACGCGCGAAAGCCTCGTGATGGACGCTCAGCCAGCCAGTGGCTGATCCAGGAGGGAAACGCTCCAAGCAGTGAGAGGGCCTGCAACCCCAGCGGTTTCACAGGGACTTGAATGCAGCCGCCAGTTGTGGCGCTTCTGGGGCTACAGTTGCGTAGGTGGAGCCAACAGGTGCTCATCACAAGGCTCCACACCTGGAAGCCGGCATCTGATCGATCCACCAGGCCCCTGAAGCGCTGCAGCAGCTGGCCCACTCGCCCGCCTGCAGTGCCAGAGACGCCGGCCAGCCGAGCGCTCGCACGGACCGCTGCTCCCTGCCCCCCCGTGGCGCGGTGCCCCTTCGCGCCCACCAACGGTCGCCCGGACGTTCTCAGCCTTTCTGCGAGGCTGGCGCAGCGGCCCTCCCTCCGGCTGGCAGGGACCCGCAGATCGGAGTCCCTGCATGCCACTGGC